GGGGGGGGCTGGCGGTTATCCTGGAGGCTATGGGCAAACTTGTGTAATCCACAGGCCAAAATGCCAAGAACAACAGACCTATAGATTATAATGGTTTTTCACTCAAAATTAAATTTTAAACCATTGTCTTAATTGCACACTAAGTGCTCATATCTATAGATGCCACCATTCTTGTCATCCTCTTTATTTTTTGTCTGTTTGTTTGTTGAGTAACTCATCAATTCATCCCCCCCCCGGGATCAATCTAAATAATTTGTAATAACTCGATACTTACTTGTGACGGATGCATGCCTGATGTCAGGTCTCTGGGGTTGTTTTCCCATTATCCAGTACATGTCCTGTGGTGGTACGAGAGCCCCGACCAGCGGGCGGCGATTCGGCACACGGCCCACCAAGATGCCCGTGTGGTGGCGGCAGGTGAGGCGAGCATGCCAACACGTGCCACAGTCTGCGCCCGCTCCGCGTTTCAGCTACAGCTTGGGCTCACGCGGGCATACAGACGCACGTTACTGAACGCCCTGCCAAAGCATTTATTAGACTGCTTCCCCTATCATGCAGTTAGACCAGTGGTTCCCAGTCAGGTCCTAGGGGGGACCCTCTGATGGGCCACGTTTTTGCTCCCTCCCATTTCCCAGGGAATTGGGTGAGAGCAAAAACGTGAACTGCCTAGGGTCCATGAGGACCGGTCTGAGAGACACTGCATTAGAAAGCCAATCTACTCTGACACTACATCACAAGGTGTTTTTAACAATATGTCAGCTAGGAGTGTTTGAGAATTTTTGTCACAAATATGTTTGATGCTGCCTTGTAATATTAAGCTTTTTGTGTATTTAATTATTTTAAAGCATTTTTGATTCATCAACTTTACTAGACATCTTTACCCATTTTTATATCAGTTCATTTATCTATTTATTTTACACGTTTGTGTATTAAATTTTACCTGGCTCCTTAGTTTATATGAATAGTTATCGACCGAACCTAGTTCTTGCCATGAGACAGCCATAGACACTGAAATGGCAAACTTTGTAAATACATACATACCTACCTACCAGAACACCCTTTTTTAACAAGTAAAAATTATTCTCAAAATAGTAAGCCTTACTTTGTAGAGGTACGTCGTAATCTGACGTGGATTCGTCACACATTTTGTTTCTGATCAGAGTTTAAGGACTGGCCGTGACCAAATCGCATTTAACAACATTCATTTGTAATATAAAGGGGGTTTTAGCCCCTCCCCGCCGGAAATGTACTTATCATAAGTGGTGTCGGTGTTTTTGCCAGCGCTGGAGTTTCTGCTGGGGATAGGTCATAAAAACAGCCTCCTGGCAGAACTCCATGTTTCGATATCTGCAGAAGCTGGCTGAGAAGTCACATGGATGTGCGTGTGCAAGATTGCCTCTGATGGCATCTGTTTTGTAGTAGCCCTAACCCTTGTCCCGTTATTGTCACCCCCCCCCCCACAGTGAGGGAGAGTGTGTCATACCTGGAGTCCCAGAGTAACAAACTCCTGCTTCCTACTCCGTTCTCGCCCCTCCAGTGAGCACAGGCCTTGGCGCTGATGTCCTACCTGTTACAGTGGCTTCCTGAGCTGATTATTCTTTTTTCTGTGCACTTGGAGGTAAATCACATAAATTCTACATGTAGTTTGCAAACAGTTGCGATATAGATGCAGTGTATGCAGTTTGCTGTTGCTTGAACCCTTACGCTGAAAGTGCTGACGAAGTGGATCTCGAAGAAGATGTTAAAGAGCCAAATGGCTTCATTTCAGCACCCCGCTGAATCTCTACCCTTTTTCATCTCCAGTGGACTCCTAAAATATGCATCAAAATATGCATCAAACGCTCCTGGCGCATGCACATGCACCCCCCCACCGGTACCTGTTGAAAGAACTTCTGCTTAAATTACACGTTTGAGCCTGGATAGTGTGATAAAATATTTTCTCTGTTGATTGTCATGTACATCATGTATCCTGCCAAATGCTGTGCTTAGCTTTCAAGAGCAAAATTGCCTTTAAAAAAAACCACCGATCCGTGTCACCAAACTGGTCCACATCGCCCTTTAAGACACTTGCAGTTTTCATTATGACTCTGTGGTGTTGGGGTGGCATTTCAGCATCATTTTCATTTTATGCTATGGGGATTTTCCACCAACACAATGCGACAGCACTTTTGTAGCAAAAAACTTAAGTATTTTAATTGCCTTGGTCAGTATTAGGTAAATAAAGACAAAACAAAATAATGACATTGATCCCAAAAGTCCTTATTGGTCATGATGATATGTTCACTGCTTATGTTGTGGAAGATGTCACAGATCCACCCTGAAGTCTCTGTTGTCATCAAGCACATGTTGTGTGGGGGTGTACTACAGTGTTTATGACTGTGTTTGTGGTGGGGGAGGGGGTTGTTTGTGATCCTGTGACCGTGGCCCATTAGTGATGTAATTATGTACTGTAGATGACTTTAAAAATAAATGCTTGCTGTGTCCACATTGGTGTCCTTCACCTTGTTCTCCACTTTTAAGCTTCAGAAACAAAGTAAGGTGTGATAATGTGTCAATTGGCAGCCAGTTATGCTGGATGGAGGTGTTATGGGGTAACAGGTAAACCATAGGGATGATTAAAGAAGTGATGCAGCTATACTGTAAGTTAGAATGCAATGCCTGGCCAAAAAAAGTCTGTTTGAAATTAAATCAGCAAGGACTTAGAGGCCAGATTGGATCATTATTACAGCTCAGCAATGTTATGCAGCGATGAAGTGAAGTCGACTGAGTACCTGAACTTACTGAATGGCCAGGTTGTCCCATCAGTGGATTTTCTCTTTCTGAATAGCATGGGCACATTCCAGGATTTGAGTGGTTGAGGGAGCACGAGGAATCATTTTCACACATGAACTGGCCACCACAGAGTCTTGACCTTAACCCCATTGAAAGTCTTTGAGATGTGCTGAAGAGGACTTTATGGAGTGGTGCAACTCGCCTATCATCAATATCTCAACAAGAAATGAATGCAAATCTAGATAGAGAAAATGCTGAGATGTTACATAACCACATGGAAACAATGAATCGACGAATGTGCACCATAATCAAAGCTAAAGGAGGTCCAACGAAATATTGCAGTTACTTTTTTGGCCAGGCAGTGTAGAAGTATGCATCCTGTGGATCCCAGTGTCCCACCCACCTTAGCCCTTTTTGACTGGGATCGATACCCCCCTGCGTTTTGGGGGAAGATGTTGTGTTCTTTGGTCTGCTACGATTTGTATGTTGCAATGTCACAACAGAATATCGACAAAAAAGGGCGTGGATTGTTGTTGTCTGACACAGGTGAGCCCGGAATAAACCTGTCGTCCCAGTTGCCTGACCGAGGTTAAGTGAATTAGAGGCGATTTGTGGAGCGCAAGCACCACGATCACAGGCCGCTGAGTAAATAACGCCGATTCAACAAAATGAACTGAGTGGGCTGAGGTCAACATAGACGTACTTTGCCTTGGCGTCCATGCTCTGCCTACACCGACGAAATGCTGCCAATAAGAAACGCACTGAAACAACTTGTGATAAATAACTTAGCGAAGAACTTGCAGGTGAGTCGAGTTTATTATTAAGTCTAAAATCATGGATAGAATTTGACGATCTCTAACGGCTTTAGTTGCTCAACCTATGCAAAATGCGTTTGTGTGTTCTGTTCGGAAGCCGTGGATGTGAGCATGTAGATGACAGATTGGCATTTTTCACGAAATCAATACAAGCCCCGCGCGCCAGGGAAATATTCCGGATGAACTAACTGCAAGTGTTCTTCGAATGTGTCTCGATTGATCCATTATTGTCTATTATTGTTTTTACTTTTTATGATTTATATAGTGATTTAGTTAAAAGCATTCATAGTCCAGAAATGTTCCTCCTGGTTCAGTCGGTAACGCTAGGTTTAACATTAACTCTACTTGGCCGTGACTTGAGTAATAGTGCGCGCCCGTTTGCAGTTTTATTGACAAATTGTTTGACAGAAATTAAGGGAATTACAATATCATCTCCAAATGGTTGCGTATGACTCATTGTGGAGCTGAGACAAAAGTTGTGTGGTGTAATTACAACTAAAAAAAAAGCAGTACAAAGTTCTGTAGTACAGGAGTTGAATGTATTTTAAATAGAGACGTAACGATGCATCTTTTTTGTGATCAAATTTTAATTTAACAATTTAAACATAGGACAAAACATAACACCCCCCCCTTTTTTGTGATCAAATTTTAATTTAACAATTTAAACATAGGACAAAACATAACACCCCCCCCCAACGATGCAACTTGATCAATCGATAAGATAGTTAAGGTGATTCAGCTGCCATCAGTCTGTAATCGACTTATGGGACTCAGTCCCCCTTAAAGAGATTCCTACTTCCGGGTTGCGCGCGCTCTCGCGCTCCCGTACAGCAGGTAAGCGCGCGAAGCAGCAGCTCCTGCATTTCCGAAACGTGGATGCATTACCATAGATGCAGGCCCTGCGTGGCGATCTTTGCACTACGACCCTAATGGGACATCTGAGGAGAAAAAATAACCACTCCTTTTGCACGATCTCACAGTACTTTAGCGTTACTATGAATAGCTGTGTCCATTCAAAGGGTGGAATTAGGCTAATAGTGTAAAACTGAATGACGCCGACATGCCCAGTAAAATGTGCCTCAAACATTAGATTATGGGAGACAATGTACACCATATAACTTTCAAGGTTATGCATTTTAATACGTACTTATTAAAGTTTATTCAATACCAGACTGTAAGCGAGATAGATATTGAATATGAAGTTTAACTTTAAACATTGAAATATGAATTAATATTCACCCATAAAGAAATCTGGAAAAACTAAATATAAAGCCGCAGTGTCAAGTTAATTTTTAAGTCACTGGTAATGAATAGACAGTGCAATTACAAATAAATATGTATAATACATAAACTGAAAGTTAAATGGTGTGCATTGTTCCTCACTGTCTAATGCTATTATGTCTGTTTCATTTAGTTTTATACTTATTAGTCAATTAATTCTATCATCTGTACTTTGAACAGACACTGCAGCTATTAATAGAAGTATTGCGAAAAAATTGCAAGATCTTGCAAAAGTATTGCGAGACAACGTATTTTTTTTGTGAAGTCTTGCAGAAGTATTTTGAGAACGCAAAAGTTTTGCGACATCTTGCAGAAGTATTGTGAGATCTTGTAAAAAGATTCGTTATTTTTTATCCTTTCCTTTGTCCTCCTTGTCCATCTTGTACTGGGGAAAGGTAGGTTAGCAGGAACTTTGCGCTACGATGCTTTTGGAAAACGGTCCTCTTTAGTAGCGCAATTTTGTTTTTCTTGTACGGTAGCAAGACAGAAAGAGCTCAGCTAAGTAGCTTAGTTTAGCGATGCACAATATATATTCGTTAACATATCGGTGTAGGCTGATATTCTTTAAAACCGAGATATCAACATTGATCCGATGTGTCGGTTTTGACCAGTATCGCCGATACTTAATCTAAAGACACAGCTACTGAAGTATGAATGATGACTGCATTGGACAATTGACTTCTATGCTTAGTAGAGGATGAGGGATCTCTTTGGCTCAAAGTACAGGACGACGCTGCATGCTTATAATTCAATATTAAATTTGACCCTTCTCCCGCTCCGTAAGTGGCTCTGAGGTTAGCAAGTCATCGGTATCGGTTAGCAAAAATAATCGATTAATCAGATTGTGGTAGAAGTTTTCTGATGCATCAGATAGATCCTTAAATAATCAAATTCGCCTAGGGGCCAGCGATCTACACTGCTAATGTTAAAGTATCTAAATGCCCATGTGGAGCACTGTGATGTGACCAATGGAGTGTTTCTCCTGTTCGGTTCCCCCAGCTGCGGGCTTCCATCTCCACCGGGCCCCAGCAGAAGCATGGCACTTTTTACGAGTTCCGCACGTACCGCATCAAGCCCGAGCATAGCGCCTCCTTCTTCAAGCTGACGCATGAGAAGATCCACCTGCGCACGGCTCATTCTGAGCTTCTGGGTTACTGGAGCGTGGAGTACGGTGGCCTCAACCAGGCCTTTCACATCTGGAAGTATGGTGAGAGGAGAAAGGGCTTTGACACTGCAGCTTAAAAATATATGAAGTCGGGTTGCCATAAACTGTCAGGAATTATACCCCAGCAGTGTTGGGCATTTCAGATCCAGAAGCTACAAATCCAGACCAAGATTTTGTTTCTCCTAACCAGTTGAGTACTATGTGACTGTTATGCTCAACTGGTTGGTAGAAATATAATCTTGATCTGGATTTGTAACTTCTGGACCCCAGTCTTATTTTACTAACTGTTTGGAGTTTGATAAGATAAAACGAATTAGCCGCAAAGCTAAACACAGTTGCAAAAGCTATAGATACTTTTTATCTTGAGATTCTGCAGCTGCCTGGTACCTCTCAAAAACCCCAAAATAGCCCTGAGAAATTGTTCATCTGTGCTCACTGCCTCTACACTTGGTAATGTGTGCGTGTGTGTTCTGCTCAAGCACTAAAGGGGAGATTGCAGGCAGAGCTGTAATTTTTTTAGTCCAAGTCAAAAAATAAAATACAGACGCTCCTCTACTTACGAACTTTCAGACATACGAACGAAGACGACTCCAAGTTCAAATTGTGTTCATTTGGTTCCTGTTTTCTGTCTGCTACATAATTTTTTTTTTTCTGCCCGCCAATTCCGCCTAGTACGACTTCTGGCTGCTACTCCCGCCGCGCAACAGCATAGCGTGCGTACTCCCAGCATCCTAGTTCTTTGTACTTGCGTATACCCTTAATATGATGTTGTATAACGACTTACGAACATTTCAAGTTACGAACGGCCGTCCGTAAGTAGAGGAGCATCTGTATTATCTTTCTGTCTGAACTAAGCCTCCGGCTGAAATTTCTACAACATATCATAACATGGTACTTAAAATGCACATCAAGACCATAAGTCCTTCGTGTTTTCCATATCAGACAGTTATGCCCAGCGGGCAGGAGTGCGGACAGCCCTGGCCAAGGACCCCCAGTGGATGGAAGAGTACATTTCCAAAGCAATGCCTATGCTGACCTCTCAGGACAATGAAGTGACATATCTGGTTCCTTGGTGTAAGATCAAAGGACCTCCAAATAAAGGTTAGAAGGTACCATTCATTCTTTAATTGTTATCAGTGGTGGAATTTGCTCCCAACAGTTGTCAGAATTTTTATTAAGATGGCCCTGTTGAGTGGCTTAGTGATAAAACGTCTCTTCTGAGATTGATTTTTACTGTAATCTTGGTTAGCTACTGCAAATCACTCCGCCGGATCTGCTGATTGCCAGCGGCGTCACTGGAATGGCATTTAGTCTGACGTCTGACGTCAACCTCTGGCGCTTCCTCTAGTGACTGCCTGCTGCGGCAGGTTTTAGTCGTAATCAGCCTTCGGGTTCTCACAAGAGTGTAGGCGCTCTTTGATTGGTGGTGTGAAAAAGAAGGCAGATTATCGGGGGTGTGAATCGGAGGACGGTGTTCACTGCCTTGTGCTTCGGGGCCAGTGTAGGGGCAGTTCAGGCTGTAGAGGCTGACTGAGAACTGGCCTGAATTAGTGTCAAAACAAGATTAAGCATTAAAATTAAGGAAAATCAGTGTTGTTTTGCCATTGTCTGTTGCTGGGCTGAGTGCAACATTAAAAAAAAAAATTGTAACCCCATTATAGTGTTCTTTTTTTATCCAGGTGACATTAAAACATTTATTTGTCTTTTCTAGGTATCTTTGAATTTGAATTTAGTTGTCAGAACGTAAAGAAGATTTTAGATAGATGTTTTTCAAAGATGGCAAAATCCATGCGCATTCCTCTAGAGTTAATAGTGACATGACTGCTGATATGGATAATTAATTAGGTTATAATAATTTTAGCGAATCATAAGCCTGTGAAAGCAATCAGACAAGCACCTAATTTAAGATAATTAGTAGCAGACTACTGATAATTTTTAAGTCCAGAAAATAAGTACTTGTGAAAAAAAAGATAAATAATTGAAAATCAGGATAAGTAATAAAATGCAATAAAATACCCACTTTCAAACACCTTGAGGTACAAAAATTAGTAATAATGAAAGACTGTAAAGTACAATGAAGTACCCACTATTCAGATACACACTGTAAGACACTGTAAAAACACTGTATTTTTAACAATATAGAACAACACTATAAAACACAGCTTTTCATTTAAGAATATTGCCCATCGAAGAATATTCCATCTTAATGTCACTGTAAAACAATGTAAAACTGTAAACATTGTAAATCAGCACTGCTTATATAGAAATATAGAATATAGAAATTGCACATCTGAGGTTAAGCAAGCATGTTTTCCCTTCTGTTATGTGTTTTGGCACCAGTCTGATTGTGGCTGGAGAGAAGCTGTTATAAAACCGTGCTTCATGTGTGATGATACTGTCCGGCCTGCAGCGTCTGAGGTTATCTGCTGAGTGTTTATGCCTAAGCAGAGAGTGTCGGGTGAAATGTGTCCTTAAGTCCCATTTAAATCAGCTCTATGCCTGTCTGCAATTTTCGTTCTGTAGCGCTGAACTGTGTGAAAATAATCTACATGGAAAGTAAGACCAACTGAAGTACTGGAATCCTGAAAAATGTTACTTTGCTGCTCCTGAATGTAAGAAAGTCTCCTTTTCCGAGACAAGGAGCTTGTTCTTCGTATGGCACGGCCTGATGCAAGGCATGGTTTCCTCTCCAGGTGTGTACGAGCTCACGACATTTCTCATGAAGCCGGGCGGGCCAGCGGTGTGGGGTGCCGCATTTCAGGCGGCTGTCGGCGCTCACGCTGGACCCGGCTACGCCCACCTGGTGGGGGTTTTCCACAGCGAGTTCGGACTCCTCAATCAAGGTGAGAGGCTGACGATCAGGAGCATGCCTAGTGTCAGTTACATGATCTGTCCTATAGGCTTTGCAGGTGGGTCGGTTACCGTGGGAATGTGCCAGATGTCTTGTCGCTGGGGTTATTAATACATTTCTTTACCCATGACCCAGTACATGTCCTGTGGTGGTTCGAGAGCCCCGACCAGCGGGCGGCGATTCGGCAGAAGGCCCACGGAGACGCCCGCGTAGTGGCAGCAGGTGATGGATGACGCATGCACGCAAACTGGCGCATGCACGCAAACTGGCGCATGCACGCAAACTGACGCATGCACGCAAACTGACGCATGCACGCAAACGGCAACAAGTCCTGACGTGGCTGTCAACCTCACTCTTTGTACCAAGTGTGATTCACACATTTATTAAACTGCCGTCCAGTTATACAGTCACTGTTGTTCAAATATTTACCTCACAGAACCATCTTCTCAAGTCTGCCTCAGAGTGAATCAGAGACGTTTCTAGAATCTAACTAATCTGCTGACTTTAAATCTGAAAGAGACAAAATAAAAGTGTATAATTATGTTACGCCAGCCAGCTGCATGAGACAGTAACGAAAGACAGTGAAGTGGAGCGCATGCCCCGACGCGTCCCTCTGTAAAGCGGACACGTTTTTTTTTAAATCTGTGATGGGTCAGAACATGTGGTTCCCCCCACCCCCCTTTGGGGAAATTTACTAGAGGAAGTAAGTGTTGATGGAGTGGACCCTTTGTTGGGACAAAGTTGAAAAACAGTGTCCTGGCAGCGATCAGTTTCCCAGTGTCAGCAGAAACCATGAGGGAGATTTTGGATGGGTTTGCATCTGCAGTTTGTTTTTCAAGTATTCAGTGGCCGCTTACAACCTTTGTCCTTTTCCCCTTTCCCCCCCCACAGTGAGGGAGAGTGTGACGTACCTGGACTCCCAGAGTAACAAGCTCATGTTCCCCACTCCATTCTCGCCCCTCCAGTGAGTTTCACCCTGGGGGGTGTGGGGGTTTGTTCTGGGGCAGTGGGACTCTTAATGCTGTGTTGGTCAAACTGCACGTGCGCTTTACCACGTGTCTGAAACGTGACTGGAGCTCAAGAGCTGCCTGATCTCCAGAGCAGCGGTGAGGGTGTTTGCTGTCCTTCGGTTCCTGCTAACTTGAGTGTTGAATTTGATCAAACCTTAACTTGACCTGGTAACGTTTCATAGTTATGATTTTGTACATTTTTGTTACATTTTAGGTCTGATCTGTTTGATCCTATAGGGGGGATGAAGCCCCTAACCATTGTGTTTTCACAGTGTTTGTCACCTGACCTCAGTTATACCTTAATTGTAAGTGGATTCACACATACAGCTCATGATTGTACATGATAGACATGAATTCAGCGGTGGAAAATTCAGGTCCAGGAAGTACAAATCCAGACCGTGGTTTTGCTTCAACTGACTAGTTGAGTATAAAAAGTTAGTCACAGAATACTCACCTGGTTGGTTGAAACAAAACCTTGGTCTGGATTTGTACTTTCTGGACCTGGACATTTTGTGTTTGTAATAACTTAAATTCGTTTACGTTAATATGAAGGAATTTGAATATAGGAGTGTTACCTGTGTTTTTTTCTTGGCCTTCACAGTGTACTTGCAATTGCTTTTAACAATAATAAAATGCAATTTTCAAGTCATTCTGTTGTGGTTTTATTTGTTATTTATTTGGGATGACCAGGACAGTTAATTCTGGCCTCCTAATCCTCACCTATATCTAACTGGTGAATTCTCTCCTGCCCCTTCACCACCGTAGCTACTGTGTGGTGAGCGTACTGGTGCAGAATGGCTGCCGTTGCATCATCCAGGTGGTGATGGTTGAAGTGGCTCCCTATTGGATCTGTAGGGATGATATAAATGTAACATTCATTCATTCATTTTAATATCCATCCATCCATCCATCCATCCATTGTCCAACCCGCTTATCCTACTGGGTTGCGGGGGGTCTGGAGCCTATCCCGGAAGCAATGGGCACGAGGCAGGGAACAACCCTGGATGAGGGGCCAGCCCATCGCAGGGCACACTCGCACACCATTCACTCACACAAGCACACCTAAGGGCAATTTAGCAACGCCAATTAGCCTTAGCATGTCTTTGGACTGTGGGGGGAAACCGCACGACGACATGGGGAGAACATGCAAACTCCACACACATGTGACCCAGGCAGAGACTCGAACCCAGGTCCCAGAGGTGCGAGGCAACAGTGCTAACCACTGCACCACCATGCTGCCCCTTCATTTTAATATGAATAATCTAAATGCTACAAAGATATTTAGTAATAAGAGAAATAAGGACCAAGTTCTTTCTTAATTCTTTATATGTTTTCTGTGCTGATGTAAAAGGAAACAAAGCTTTCATCAGTGGCTGTTATTGGTCAAGTTTTATTCTATAAATAAGTACGGCACAGGACAAGTAACAGATTTCCACAAAATTTTTTGTACATTAAACCCATGCACAATTATAAGGGCAAGGGGTTGGCCATGGTAGAATTTTTTATTATTTTCATCAATCAGAAGACAGAATGTTTGTTTCTTGTCTGTGGGTACTCCAGTGCAAATTAAACAAATAAGTTTCAAGAAACATGAACTATAAAGTGCTAGGAATGAACACCGGCACAACTGCCCTGACCACAATGTGACCAATGAGAAGCGAGCTTCTTATCTGATTGGCTCAGCAGGCCTTCCTGAATGCAGATGGGATAGATGACACAATGTCAATGGCACGTCATTGGAAAGGTCACAGTGGGTGATGGAGGGGGGGAGCGATTTGCAGTGTGCTGGACGGCAGCCACCAGAGTCACTGGATCTCAGGTGGGACTTGTTCAGGTGAGAAAATTCACACCATGGCAGTACGTGGAAATGGAGTGTATGCCCTATACTGGAGTGTAGGACCAAGGATGGCGTTGGCACATATTATGGCTTGTTACAGCACAGGAGTCAAACACAAGACACACCAGTAATACGGGCATTGAAATACTCAGGTCCAGCTGCTACTGAGGGGACCAGGGGTCAGGTCCTGAATGTGTGTCCTGCGTGTGTGTAAGAGCGACGCTGATCACCGCATCAGCAGCTCTTCAATCTATCGCTGATTTACACACGATAGTTTGCATGTTGCTTTCTCGACTGAGAAAACACTGCACTGCACTGAAAGCCACTAGTCTGGCCTTTACTGAGGTATTTTAAATTTCATTTTTAAAAATTTGAACTCTGACGTTCTCCTGACCAATAAGATATGGTCCGAAAATATAAACCTATGATGTTTTTTTTCCTTTACAGTACATTCCGAGGTGTACTTCGTGTGCTTCTAACGTCGTTTTCACTGAAGTGGTAGACAAGACGGAAGCCGCTGTACCAGACACTGGAAACTAAGCTACATTTCAGTCAACAGAAATTTATAAACGAGTTTGAAAAATGTTAAGATATTTATGTTCATATAAATATTAAAGAAAGTACATATTACAAAAAAAAATCAAACAGAACAATGTAATTTTATAACTTTTCCCCTAAGGCCTTGCATTGTTTTGACTGATTGTTATTCTTCAACGTCAGCGTCTGCTCTTTGTCCAAAGGTGGGAGGTGAGCCCTGGTTCCTCTATAACACTGGGCAGAGACTGACTGGAATTACACACGATATACTGTATTGCAGGCCTCCCATGTTCACACATTCCAACGTGTGAAAATCAGAGGAACATAAGCATATTCAAGTTATGTGTTCGCTATCCTCAGCAACCAACAGGGGGCACCAGGCTCTCCCTTGTGAACACCAAAGTGGAATTTTTTTTGCATTGACTTGCATTGTGTTCCTTTTCAGCAGGAAGGTTCTACATTCAGTTCCTCCTCCAGATGGCCTCATGCCAAAAAAGGAACAAATAAAAGAGAATAACATCAATACACAAGAAAAACAAAACAAAAAAAAAACTCTCATTTTGGTCCGAGAGTCGCCTTTGCAGTTCCAGTTTTCCTCCGGCTGAGGGGCAGTGGAAAACCTGTCCGGTTAAACAAAGCTCTCCTTCACCTTCTCACTTTGCAGGAAGGAGTTGCACTGTGAAATGTCCACCACAGCATCTTTGCTGCTCACGGAAATGTCCTTAGAGTGGTCCTCGTCACTTTGGTCCTTGGCAAAATTGACAAACACCTAGGGGAGGACAGGAAACAACGGCGGTCAATTCATGGCTTGAAACCTATTTGTATACGAAACACTGCCAACTCGCCAAAACGAAACCTAACAGAATAATGGGATGAAAGTGGGCAAACAAACTTATCCCAAAAGACGCAACCTGCAAACATGGCCAACTCAAAATCTTTGGGATATCTCACTCAAAATGCCACTATATTTAGGGGTAACACTTTACTTGAGGGGGGCAAAAAATGTAGGACACTCACTTAATATATTAATTAACCAGACACTGCGTTAGTTACATACTGATCCCATGTTTGTCCATCATTAATCAGTCATAGTGGTTCATGTATTTCATGCAGTTACTATATTCCTTCATAATTTGTGCTTGAGTAGTGACTGTGTTACTATGTTACTTGTGCCCCCTCAAGTAAAGTGTTACCCATTCAAGTACTTGTTTTTTTGCAGATCTTTTTTGCAAATCATCTTTATTTGTGTTACTAGACTTGTCTAGTCCCTTTCAGTAATCTCTTCCTGTTTCTTGTAAGCTGAGGTGGAAATATCAGGTCCAGAAAGTAAAAATCCAGACCAAGATTTTGTTGCAACCAACTAGATGAGTACACTATGATTCTGTATGCTCAACTGGTTGGTTGAAACAAAATCTTGGTCTGGATTTTTACTTTCTGGACCTGAACCTCTGCTTGTAAGCGTATTGCCGCGAGTCCCCTTACTGCCTTTCAGTAGGTGCGACCTACCTGGTCTAGTGTGGTTTGGGACACGGAGTAGTCCTCTATTTGGAGCCGCTCCTTGTGCTTGGACAAGATGCTGAAGATGCGGGACAGGGAGATGAGGGAAGACGGCAGCTGGTACTGCAGCATGTTCCTGTGCTTCTCCTTCAGCGTGCTGCCCGGAAACTCCCCCTCGATGAACTTCATGACCAAGTCCAGATTTGGCTTGGGTCCTGCCACCCGCAGGATGATGGTGTATCCGTCTCCAAACCTGGGCACACCCACAGACAGGAATGTTCCTAATTATCTAAGCTGATCCTTGATTATGTAACGATACATCCGTCCCCCAGACACGTCTGCATGTGGAGCCCGGACTGAACCTCTGGATGAAAATGGACTCACCGGTTCTTCAGGTGCTGGACGCTGCCCAGACAGCGGAACCTGCCGTTCACCATGATGGCCATCCTCGTGCAAAGGGCCTCACACTCCTCCATGCTGTACAAAGAGAGTGAGGTATCTGTCAATCACACTCACAGTGACGGGGCCTGATGGGGACCCTTACCCATAATCCTCCAACACAAATTGCAGCAAGAAGCAGGTGTTTACTTATGGAGGCTAATCTCTGTACATGAAAATGCAGATTGGGGAAAATTTCCAGTATCACTGCTGCTTACCTGTGCGAGGTTAGCACGACAGAACGGCCCTCTTTGATAACACTGAGGATGCAGTTCCAGAGAGCCCGACGGGCTTTGGGGTCCATGCCGGTGGTAGGCTCATCCTATCAAGAAACAGAACCACATACGTTAGCAGGTCTCAGCGGAAACCCAACACTGTAAAGTTGAGAAAATCCCTCTGTTAGTTATTGACTAAAGTCCCATGGTTATTGACTCAAAAGCTGTTAGCCAAATGTCTCCCAAAGATCATTGCATTTGTGTCTTTGCAAGCTCTCGGCACTCACCAGGAACACCACAGGAGGGCCCCCGATCAGAGCTATGGCGGTGGACAGCTTACGCATGTTCCCTCCACTATAGCTTCCTGCTTTCTTGTCTACATACTTCACCAGTCCCAGCTTACGGATGCCCCACTCAGCCACCTACAGAACATGAGAATGAAAGTTATTCTGGGAAAATGAGTGCTAAGTCAATACAGGCCATCCATGTAATAATGCACCCCCACCCGCCCACCTGACCCCCACTGGTAATGGTTGCCAGCCCCACCTACCTCACACACTTCTTTTTCAGGGACCCCTCGTAGGAGGGCATAGAACTCCAGGTGCTCCCGGCCTGTCAGCAGCTCATTGATGGCGTCGAACTGTGGGCAGTAGCCCATGTTCTGGTGCACCTCATCGATCTCGGTCAGCACGCTGTGAGTGCAACACAAACCGTCATCATTCACATGAACAGTAGTGGGCGACACTACACAAAACCGGGATTCTCATCTGCTACACTCTCACCTCTTTCCGGCCAGGAAGGCCTCTCCGCTAGTCACCACCGAATCTCCGGTCAACATCTTGAACGTACTTGTCTTCCCTGCACCGTTTACGCCAAGCAGCCCGAAACACTGGAAGGGGATGGAAAAAAATGAGCCGATTGGTCCACCTTTCATCATTTTGGATAGAACATCTCAGAGGCTCAGCATACCAGAGGCTCCATGAGTCTATAACAGAAGGGAGCATTAAGTGAACACCTACCTCTCTGCGTGGGATGCCCACACACAGACGGTCAACAGCAGGCTTCTGCTTCCTCTTATATACCTGCATAGACATCAAGAAGCATTGTCACAGCAACAGTGTTAGAGGCTGAAGGTACTATTTCATCAACATTCATTATCAGGAGATGAGTACTATTATGCTAAGTGAGACTTGGCTTAGGAATCTATTTCAATGCATGTTACATAAACAAAAACGATACAAATAGATAAATAGGTAAAATATACTTTTTTGTATTAACATTAAATCGAGTTCTATGTTTATACAAATTAAAGATCCTTAATGCATTATCCTATAACAATTCTATACCTTGGTTTGGCTAAGCTGTTTTGTCACAGTAGGATTCTGCCATAGGCAACCCCCCCCCACCACCGACCTTTGTGAGCTGACGCAACTCCAGGATGTCAGACTGGCCCCCTCCACTCAGGATTCTCTGCCTCTCCCTGGCCACATCTTCATCCTCCTCACCTAAAGAATTCAGTTTGGGGCTCCATGCCCTGAAAAGAAGAGGCGTGTAGGTAAAATTTACACCACCGGTCATAGTTAGGCTCTGTGGGATCACGGTCATGAGGGGTGGAATAGAACATGGCATGTCCATAGAATGGGAGAAGTGCTCACCTGGCTTTAATGAAGAACCGGTACTGGATGAGCACGGTGATGAAGAAGAAGATCACACCCTCCAGGGCCATAGCAAAAAGGTTCTTGCCTACCATGTCCCACGCCAATGGAGACTGGAAACGGCTCTCGCCTGCGAAGCGGAAGCCTTGTGTTAACTTGCATTCTATGGAATATTTTAAAACAGAACATCCACCAAGGAATAACGACTATGACTTCCATACCGAATCTCTCTAGGGCGTCGGCCATCGCTTGATTTTTAACCATGTCAATCAGGCCTCGGCCCAGGCAGAAGTGCGGGAAAATCAGGAACACGTTCTTCAGGATTTCATTGACCCCACCGAACTTCTGCATGGAGATAAGATGTTGGGAATATTAGGTGTGGGTTGGAGGTGAGAATATGGAGACTATCAAGTACTCATGGGTTGACCCTTCAGTCCTTGTAAGGTTAATATTCACTTACACTGCCACCAAAGAGCTCCAAGACAAATGTAGACACACTGCCGTTGATGCCAATTAGGATGTTGATGCTGGTAAGCACCACATAGGCTGTGCTGGGGATCTTGAAGAAGAATGAGGCAGGGTACATCAGGGGGGTGATGGACCACCTGCAGCAAAAAGGTCAAAAGTTGACACATGTTGATAATTGGGAGAGTAACGCGTCTGTACCTGAGCCCAGTGTAGATATAGGTGTTAGTCTGAGGAAACTCACCCGTAGAGAAGCAGCAAGAGGGCCAGGGCAGGCAGGTTGGTGGAGGAGACATAGGCTTTTTGTTGGAAGCAGACGAAAATGATGATGACCAGCGTGGCTGGGACCACATAGTTGCACTGGAACAGGAAAACACAAGGCATTGAACTGAGAATCATCGCGGACTGACAGAAGAAACACGAGGCGCCATGGCAACAGCTGATGGTGGCGTGACTCACCATATCCCAGACGAAGTTAGCCAGCCAGTACAGGAAGGGCTGCACACCACTGATGAACTGCATGTGCTTGGCTTTGCTGACACGCTCCTGGATGAGGAAGACCACAAAGCTGGCCGGCACAAAGGACATGGCGAAGATCACGCAGATGGACACCAGCACATCCACTGAGGTGGTCATCCTGGCAAGAGGATAAGGGAGACAGCAGAATATAATATCAGCCAACTGGAGATACAGTAATGAGTGATGCCTTGCATTACCAGCGTAACTGATCACTAGCCATTTGCCAACAGTTAATGAAGCCAAATAAGACCAGCTAGGGTTTAAATAAGGTCATACAGCCGTGTTTCTCAACTTCAGTCCTGGGGGCCCCCAGATAGTTCATGTTTTTGCCCCCTCCCAGCTCCGGAGCAAAAACGTGGACCGTCTGGCGGTCCCCAAGGACCGGGCTGAGAGACACTGATCAACAGGGACAGGGTAACACTCAAATACTGGTTAAAATACTTTGAATTTTATGGTTTTTTAAAAGTTTGCTTTTATGTAATGATTAATGTCAGATTACACATAGACTTGTGTTTTCATTACTATAATCACCTTAAAAAGGTTGTCAGAGAGCAACAAAAAAACTGGATTAAAGAAATATTGCGAAATGAGACTTGTTACTGCTCCTGTGTGTCTATATTTTGCATCCAAACATGATACTAGGAAGTTTCCAACAAATGGTCTTTTCTAATGTTTGAACTTAAATGATTCTATTGTCTCCACCGGTATTGGTGAGGAACAAACGTTCTACTTACAAGCATTTTGGGAAAGGCATGGAAATATGAAACTTACAGGGCCACTTGTGAGAGCTGCTCCTTGGTGAGGTTCAGGGGGTGGTTGAAGGCCGTGATGCCAAATTTGCTGGGATCTGTACCCGGAGGGAGGTTTGCCCGCAGGATGCCGTTGTTTATCACGTTGAGAAAGGCTCCAATACTATGCCAGCCTTTGTTGTTGAACCAAACCTGGAAGTGAACCAGGAAAGAACCACAGAAGTCAGAGATCACATCCATGTAGGATAAGTCAGATCTAAGCCTGAAACAGACTTCCTCTTTTTGTAATGATCTTCAAAAGCCAAACCGAGTCCCCAACGTCTGTTGTAATGAGCATGATACAATTGGGCTTAGTTTAAAGCATACCATTCTATGTCCTAATCATTTACTGGAGGCATTTCCTGAGATATTGTCAATGATATACAATGCCTATTTACAGTATCTGTTTAGGATACATGATTGCCGGCTATTTTAATAGTGATATTCCTTGGGAAAGAGTTAGTGCTGTAGCTCTCACATCAAAAGCCTAAATACAAAAATGTGCTGGGAATTTAATCTCTGAAAGATTACAGCGCACTAAAATCGGACAACTGGGTAAAAGAAAAAAGAAAAAGGGACATTCTTTCGGTGATGCTGGGGGTGTGTTAATGTTTCTCAGTCCACATTTTAGCTTCCTCCCAGCTCCCACTGCACAGACACCAGGTATTCTATGTTCTTGATTTACTGGAAGCTGGGAGGGAGTAATAACGTGGACTGCCTGGGACTCCCCGAGGACTGGGTTGAGAAATACTGGCTGGAAGGAAAAGGGAGATTGTTCATTCTTGTAACTGACCTTGACGTTATCCTTTGTATCCAGGCCCTGGATGAAACCTGATAAGCTTTTCAGGAAGCGGTCGGCTGCCATCCCCTGTTGAATGACGGAGGAATGAGACACACATGCACACGATGCATGTAGTACAGACACTGAGCCGTGTGGCCGGCGAGAAACGCTGGAGAAGCGAATGCAGCCCATACCGGTCGAAGGCTGAAGGTGTTCCTGATGCGGGAGATTGCATCTTTCAGGTCATTAGCTGGAGGGAGAACTTGGGAACTTCTGGCACCCAGGGAGAATCCACCGTACCTGGACAACACAGATATAACATGCATTGAGTCTAGATGTTAGATTATGATACTTACAGACAGGGCACACTTACTGTACAATATACAAAAATCCACCTTAAATATTTCATTTACCTGAATTCATTAACTCCAATCTTGTTCTTCAAACTGTAAAAAAAATACATATTTCATGAATGATGTTAAACTGAAAATGCAAATGCGAAAAGCATACCAACGCAGGTCTTTAGAATACTTGGTTAGTAAAGCTGTACCTTTTTCCAATGATCTGAGCGTAAGTTTTCACCAGGTAGTCTGACACATTTCTCCCGGTCAGATTTTGCAAGGTATCAGTTTGGCTCAGTTTAATCTGTAAAAGAGTGAAGCAAATAATGAAAAGCTGCTACTTACCATATAAATACTGAAATCATTGAGCACAGTCCTCTGATCTACACTTTCACGGAGCTATGGGCAAGGGGCGTTTGATATTAGGAAGGGGACACAACTTTTGATTTTTTTTGGGGCTGGGGGGGGTGAATGAAGCCAAATTAAATATTGGGGGTACGTTGCCCCTGTCCCCCACCAGTTCCTTACGGTTCTAGTTGTTCCATAATAAAAGTAAGACTATCATTCTGCGTCTGACATAGTTCCCGAATGGTGGGTAACCTGGGGGGGTGGAAGTCCTCCAGCTCCTGGAGGACAGTCAGGCAACATCTTCTTCCGGCTGCCGCAGCTGCACTCGCACGAAGGGGAAGGGTTCTCCATGGACCAGTTCCCATAAAGGAAGATCTCCTGCACACTGCTTGGGACATCTGGAGTGATCCAGACGTCATCGACATTCTCACATGGGACGCCCCTATTGGAGAGCAAAGTGACATTACAAACCAGGTCAGACTCAGGTATTGACACACAATGGCACTCCCCCAACCTCTAATGTCTGGACATCATGCATGATACTCAATCGGATATTGCATTTGTCGTATTTGATGTGCTATTGTTGCTATGGTTTCAGGTGACTAGAATTGCAGTGGGACTTACGGTATGGGGTCTCCTTCCATACAACGAGTTCCAAACCCAGGATGTTCTGTCAAGGCATTTAATAACGACTGCGTGCTGGCATCTTCGGGGGCATCGTTGCTATTTAAAGATAATGGTACAAACAAAATATACTCAAAGAAATGACAAATTATGTGGCACCAAGCAGACTACAGTATGCCTAAATTATTTATCATTAACTGGCTGTAAATATGATTACACCAAATCGAGATCATTATATGCACACAATACGTAAACAGAACACTGGAATAAACTAGTGCTGCATTATCATGTGAATTCCATTGTTTGTACCTGAAGAAAGTAAACTGTTCCTCATACATCCATGGCTGCATGGCCAGACTAGGGTACTTTCCAAAGGGAGGGACGATGAGGCTGAAGACCAGGGCGATGCAGACAAATACAGCGGGTAGAACGATCTGGAGGGAGATGTTCATTGCAGAATTTATAGACCACATTTTGGCTTTCCACAAATTTGGCTTTGGCTTTCCTACCACCAACGAGCATCAAGGTCTACATTCACCACCATGAAGTAAACAAGCTTCTTGTTGCATCCCTGGCCATTCAAGTATAATCACCTGGGCAAAAAAGCCTTTTCGGGAGCGCCGAGCATATAGCAATCGCTTCCACAACAAGGCCACAAACTGCTGTCTCTTCAAACTCCAGCCCTTGACTTGATGCGACCCCTTGCCATGTGTTCCACTCAGCCAATCTGTCTCCCGGGATTCTACAGAGGTCAAAGAGCACATATTAGCCTTGTGAAAAAAGTGCACACATTTACACAAAGCAAAATGTGTGATGATTTAAAATTGAAAATGAATGGGTTGATACCTGGGTCTCCCTCAGAATCATTGCAGTCAAAGCCGTCATCCTCAGTGAAGGGTCGGAGGCAGCTCTGGTGGTCACCAAAGGCATGTCTGCGGTTTCTGCGCACTGGGACAGTGCCGTCTAAAGGGACACGAAAACTGATGTGAAGAAGCCTGGACAAAGATTATCAAAAAGGCCCCTGGAAGAAACTAACAATATCTCACCTGATACAATTTCAGTGTCCACTCCACTATCTTCTGCCACTTTCAGGAAGATCTACAGAAAATGGATCAATATTTATAACATCAAAATACACAAAAACATGTGTTTCCTACCGGAAAATGCATGAAGGAGATGCTGATGGAATCTGTCGCCTACCTCTTCCAGGGTGGTGTCAGAGACACCATAACTGGAGATTCCAAGGTCAAAGAGGCGGTCATCAAGCTCATGGAAAAGCTCTACAAAGGCTCCGTCTTTGGCTGACTCATAAGGTAGCACGTAGATGAGCTCATGACCCAGGTCCTCCACCATGCGTGCAGCAGGGACGTGTTTGAAGATCACGTTGGAGATGATGGAGACATCTGAAGAGATAATCAAGAAATTCACGTCAGTGCTCTTACCACCCACATGAAGTCTAGATGAAAAATGTTCTGTTAGCAGACCAAGTTTACCAATGGTGGTGGTTTCACTCTCCTGGTCACTGCCGAGGCCTGCATCAGAACTGCTCTCGGAAACACTGTCATCCTGCAATAGCAACATAAAACATCTGTAACCAAGAATGGGACAATACCAAGTACATGTGAGTAGTTTAAAGACATGTTATCAAAAGGTAACAAAGTATTGTTTTCTGGGAAAGGACAGAAGCCTCCATGTGTGCAAAATAAACTGATATACGCTATATTTATATTTTACCTTCTTGATGTAGGACACAGTGCTGCTTGAGTTCCGGTAAGAGCTACTAAGGGAAAGATCGTGGTCTCTCTTGACCAAGGTCAGGTAGTAGCCCGTGCCTAACTGGTTCTTCAAGAAGAGCGAGGAGCCCACGCAACACAGCTTGCCATGGGAGATGATGGCAATGCGATCCCCGAGGATGTCGGCCTCATCCATGTGGTGCGTGGAGAGGATGATGGTGCGGCCTGAGGAGACGGCGGCAAATCAGGGTATAGCCGTCTACTTCCGTTCATCCATGGTACTCGCAGACTGATTGCTTCACCAGCAAGATGTTTCTTACCTTGCCTGTACTTCAGCAGCAGGTCCCAGATGCCCCTTCGGGCGTAAGGGTCTACACCAGCAGTAGGCTCATCCAGAATGACGACTTTGGATCCGCCAACAAATGCCAGTGCCACTGAAAGCTTCCGCTGCATACCTCCTGGAAGTCAAAGACAAAGCACGGTTTGCTGCAATCTCACGGAAAGTCTTCTTCTCTAGCTACATGTAATCCTTATTATCACAGGAGACTTAGACAGTTTCTTACCAGACAGCTGGTTAGTTCTGGACTTGCGTTTGTGTGGCAGGCCAAGGTCCGACACAATCTGCTCCATCTCAGCCTTCACCTCTTCCTCAGAGAGGCCCTTCAAGCGAGCATAGAACCAAATGTGCTCCTCCACGGTCAGCCTGTTTAACACGGGAACAAAGGTCAACTCTCAACAAATCAATAATCAATAAAATTATGGCAATTTCAGTGAGAAGAATACCTAGCTATCCTTCGAAAACAATCCAAAATATGAAGAGCACAAAATTTGTATTTTGAAGCAAAGCCATTAAGCAAGTGATTAAAATTCATTTTGGCCACATATCTAAGTTTGCCTTTTGCCCACTACTGAGGTGATTAGTCATCAAAAATCATATAGAAACTGACACACATTTAATACCAAGATAGGACACCCGAGGCACATACATGCTGAATAAAACGTTGTGTTGAGGGCACACGCCTAGGTCCCGCCGTATCGCACTCAGCTCAGAACGGATGTCCTTGCCCATGATATACGCCGTCCCCGATGTTGGTGGGAAGAGGCCTGTTAGGATTGACCTACACAGCGACACACAATGGGGCGTCAAGCACTGAACACAGATACAGAGAAAGACACAAAACAGGAAATTCTACTAGCTCTTGTTATAATGAAGCCAGCAGCTTACATTGTGGTGGTCTTGCCGGCTCCGTTGTGGCCCAGGAAGGAAGTGATCTGACCCTCGTAAAAGCCAAGGGTCAGCCCATCCACAGCCAGCTTGTTCCCGTGGCTATACACCTTCACTAGTTTCTTGATGTATACACCCGGTTTAAGGTGTGCTGGTTCCTCCTCCATACAGACAGCTGGTAGAGCGGGTGTGAATACGTGGTATGAGGTCAGAGGGCTAACAACAATAACAATGCATCTCAGAAATTTTATATATTATATGCATAAGCGATGCATCATTGTGCTGCCATACCTTCTCCATTTCCATGTTTGCCCTGCAGTTCAGCTGCCAGTTTGTCTGTATTTTCTCCAAACCAGTAGGATTTAGTGAAGGGGAAGTACCACGGCCGGGGTATCCCATACTGGCCTAAAATTATCGAGCCAAACATTAGAGAAGGGAAAGCTGCAGTACAACTTTGGGCCGACGGCTTGGCCACCGTAAGACGCTGCCTACCTGGAAAGACGGCTTCAATGTACCAGGTCAAGAGTCCATAAAGGAAGGAGTCAATGTACATGAGAGTGATGGAAGTTGTGAGGCTGTAGCTGTCCTCCTCCATGGGGCTGGAGAGCAAGTTGTCCCACTGGATACCCATGCCCTGCTCTTCAAACAGAGCGAAGTACTCACAGCCGAAGCCGAATGCCACAGGAGACAGAAGACTCTGGGAGGGGGGTGAAATATATCACAATGATTGCACAAGACAGGCAGAACAAACCAGGACGTAATGCCATATCTTCATGAGATCACTTACAGCTATAACTTTGGAGCCAAAGCCCACGTAATCTTCCCAGGCCACACAAAGCACGTAAGGGAGATAAAGGGTAAAGTATATGATGCCTCCACAGGCAGCTGCCAAGTTGGCACGAGAGAAGATAGTGCTGATGAGGAAGCACTGCATGATGGTAACCACGCCAAAGGAGCCTAGGAACAGGAAAATCACCCCTGGGTCGCTGTAGGGCAGGAGGTTTCCCATCTGTGGAGTCAGGCAGAGCAGAAGCAGTCAATGTAACTTCAGTGGGCCCCTCACTCAGACCTATCGCAGCTGGGTATGTTTTAGGAGAAGTGGTACCTTGAGAGCGAGAACTAGAAGACCAGAACTGGCTAGGAGGGGAATCAGGCTACTGATGAACCAGCTGAACCACAGGATGCCATTATTCAGTCCCATGATCCTCATGGTTTCCTTGAGGCGGGCCTCCTTTTCGTAGACCACACCCTTGATTATGATGGCCACGGAGTACATCCAAGCCAGCGTCATGAAGAGCGGCATGGAACGGCTCATCACACGGAGGAACCTGGGCCAGGGGTAAGAAGAGGAGTCATGAGAGTTGACAGGGTGGTTCAGCCAGTGGTGACTATTTGTTTGGGTTTTCTTGCTGTGTCTCCCATTTCTTCCCAAGGAGATCCCCAGCACAAGTAAACTGGTGCCTCTAAAATTTTCATAATTGTTTGTAGGTCAATGTGCTCCTGCAGAGCTTCTAGATTCCACTTACACGTCATCCACATAGCAGGGGTACGGCATTTGCTGGATGTAGACGCCTGTTTTCTCTTTGATACCGGTGACCACGCGAATGATGCTATGCTCGATGACGTCCTGGAGGTAGGAGAATCCACCCCACACATAGCGCAGGTCCTCAAATGGGTCAGCCCTGGGACCAGGATCCCAGTATCTTCAATCAACAGAAGAAGAAATTAGAAATATATACCCAAACAAATGAGCCAGCTGTACAGAGGGAAGAGAGCAAGTGGTCAACATGAAGCTATTTAACTAACAAATCAGAGAACTGCCCAGAAGTTTGGAGATTCACCATCCAGAATGGCGTCTAATATTATACTCAAATGCAAGGCAGTTTAATAATGATGATGTTGATGATGATGATGATGATGCCTACCCGTCTTTGATCTTGTTGGTTCGCTCCACATTGTCTATATCCATGCGAATTTTATAGTTGACATTGGCAGGAAGGTCTGAGCTGTTGGACTCGATATCTGGGAAAACGATGCCTGCCCAGAACTGTCTGTTATCCAAAAGTCCCATTGACTTGTTCACCAGCCTCTCCTCATTGGTGACCGGCTCCAGCTTATCTAAGTTGACACACTTTGGAGCAAAAGAAACAACAGTAAGTCAACGTCATGTTCAATAGCTCAGCAGGTAGAACTTTGTGTTAGCAATACAAAGGGTGTGGGTTCAAATGCTAAGGAGTGCACCTTAATTATAACTGTTCTATCTGCTATGGGTTGCTTTTGCTAAAAGTGCCATTTAACTGAATAAAATCTTTAAGACATTTAGAAGATTAATTTGACTACTTGATGCTGCTGTTGATGGTGCAGATATTTATTGAGAAAAAGGACACATTAAATAAAAAGAGCCTGTTTGATATGAGCTTAACAACATCAGGTCTTCAAAATATGATTTTTTTTTCACTGACTATTTGTCTAGGTCTATGTCGAGAGGCTTGTCCATTCATTAGTCACTTGTGTATTCATATACTAAGCGAAACGGACCTTACAACTTGCTAATGCTTTGTTGCAAAATCACCAAGCAGTTTCCTGTGTAGGTCGGCCGCGTGCATGTGTGGAGAGAGCCGCGTACCTCCATGAAGCGTGTAATGGCCCGCACCGCCTGATCTGTCTCATTAAAGACGTCCCTCCAGGTATAGGTTGTCCCGGGAGGGCGTGTGTCTTCAGAATGCTTGGCCAGAAAGCTGAACACATCTCCCACTTTCCACTGCGTGCCCTGAAGCTGGGCGTTGAAGAAGCGGGCGCTGGCGTTGTTCTGGAGTAGGGTCTATGTGACGCAGAGAGAGAAAGAGAGAACAAAAAAATCACACTAATGGACAGCACCAGATAATTGGCCATTAGTTTTGCAAATGTCTGAATATACCACATCTGGCCACTGAGTGGTGCTACGGTGACACATGACTGGGCGGATACAAGGGGAATTCTTACACAGGAACTTGAGTGAGACATGGGGCTAATGCTCTAAATACTGCCGCAATAAACATCCCACACAATCAGGCCAACATTAAAGCATTCAGGTAATGTGTCTGGCATAAGACATCTATCATCACTGCAATATCAATTAAACTACGGAAAACAGTCAGGCCAATGTGAACATCAGTACCCATTTGTGTTTCATACAGTTGACAATCATTGACAATTCCATCCTTTAATAACTTCGTTTAACCTATTTTCCAAACTGTGACTAAATATTCTCCAACGTGGGCCTTTTTAGGAAAACAAAAGGCACCGGCGTGATAAAAATTAAGCTGTGTTTCTCACAGTAATTCTCCCGTCATGCCGCAACAGACCATCCTATTGTCATGTTTTTGAGATAATGCGCTTTTACCAAGAACTAAAAACACTTATTATACTATGGTCAGGTCTGAATCCACAGAGAACTGTATGCTATTACAGACACCTTGAATGACAAAAACACTGATCTAATATAGAGTAACACTCGTCTATTCATGACTGTTTAATTTAGCTAACATTTAAACACTGATGGTAACAGCCAAAGAGCTTAGACAATCCTGTTATTATATTGCCTACGGTATTAAAATGCACATCCTGTCTCTAGCTGACTATTTGAACTGGTGCTTCCCAACCCGGTCCTCGGGGACCCCAGACAGTACATCTTTTTCTTCTCTCCCTTCTCCTGGTAGGATTGGGAAACACTGGTTTAAACAAATACTCCTAAAACTCCTAAAACTCCTTACGTAACTGGAATTGACATATACCCTGAATATACATCTGGGTTTCTGGATCTGTATGATTTTTACTTCCATCTCAATTCTGATTCCCCAACTGCCCCCCACCTTGGGCTCCTGGCTCTCGTTAACATACCCGGACGAGGTTCATCTCTTTGCTGTTTTCCATGAAGCTCCACACCTTGGGCCTGATCTCCTCCCACATACCACCCAGGTCTCGTAGGATCCCTAAATCCTGAAAAGTCCTGTTGACCTGGAAGAAAACAGGCCAATGGGTTATGAGCTCTAAACAAATTACTGACCAGAGGTTTAAAGTTCAGATCCAGAAAATAAAAATCCAAACCAAAATTGTGTTTCAACCCTCCAGTTGCGTACTCTGTGAAAGTGACTCTTTATGCTCAACTGGTTTGTCGAAACAAAACTTTGGTCTGAATTTGTACTTTCTGAACCTGAACTTTGCACTTTTCCTACTGACCCATTCCACAGCTCGCCCCCCGTCCATTGATATGGTGATAGTGAGAGTTAATGTTATATAAAGAACATTTCTGAGGTCTGGTCGATATGTAACAAATAAATACTGATTTCTCTTATCTGCAAAGGGCCGGTGTGTATGCAGGTTTTTGGGATAACCTTTAGGTCAGCTGTTCAAAGCCAGGTGTGAGGACTCTTCAGCCAACCAGTCCTCTGATTAGTAATCTAATTAGGGAGTTGCAGTGAAATCCCGCTTACCCAATGGCCCATTCGTGATAAGACTGACCACCCCTGATATAGTGCCAAGAATTTACAACCTTCTACTACAAGCTAGTACAATCAAGAAAACCATATTTACTTCTTTGATTATCTTCTGAGTGGCCGGAGTGTCAGGAGTGTAGAGGATCTTGCCCACCAGCAGGGGTTTCAAGGCTCTCCAGATCATGCGAGAAATGGGACTGGACTCCATACTCTTCATCAAGTTATTACAGTACGGAGCTGCGTGGTCAAACACATTTGTTTAAATCACTCGATACATGTATTTCATAGCTGAACAGTTCAGTCTGAGCAGCATTAAACAGTACCGGGGGGATAGTGATCGGGAATAACTTTCAATTAGATCTAAGTAATATTCTTTCTGAACACAGCAGAGTTCAGATGGAGTATGCTAAGTTGAGTACTTGGATCGACTGATTGAATGTATGACCACAACGATTTATGCTACTGGCTGTCTGACTAAAAGCAAAATATGATGTGCATTTTTAATTGAGAATCACCTGGAATGCTACGAAGCAGAAGCTCTTTTGCATGTTCTTTACATTCTGTGTTTACGTGAAGTTTCGTGTGAGTAAGCAGTCAGATGCTGCCAGGGGAAGGCGAGGTCGAGGGCTCAAATTTGATGACATCAGCAATGGACTCACATGAGGAGTTGTCATAGACGGAGACTGGCTCCTCCTCGCTGTCGTTGTGGTTGCCAAACAGTGCTTTGTAGTTACTGTCCTCATACCAGTTGAGGGACTTGATCTTTAGACCCCCGCCCTCTGGGTGCCCGCAGACGATGCGCGACACCGCCTGGTACATCTGGGTGGGCGAGTCGTTGGCGTTTTCCGTCAGGTACAGGATCTCGCTGCGCATGTCCGTCCAGCTCTTCATGCTGGCCAGCTGTTGGGAGGATTTCCAGACACGGGGCGTCATTGCAATGCTCACGTTCGCTTTGTTATTGAAACGTAACACCGGAATGGGGGACACTGTTGTACCAGCGCTACCCATTTTCAGAGATTACTCTTCTGAGTAAGATTGATTCAACTGATTTTATATTTAAATAGCACCCTTCAGAACTTGGTTGCCCCATAATAATTACCAACATAATTACACGCGTGACATCACAAATGGATGGCTATTAACATATGTTTCTAATACCCAGGGGAAAGAAAGAGGAGAAAAACAAAGTTATTGAAGGCAAATTTAAAACACAACCCTGTGAAAGAATTTGTATTCTTTGTTTTGTTTTCATATTCCACAGTGAAAAACAGTAATTAAATTTAGGACCAAAAACTTATCCAACCAGTCTTTCATTTACATGACCGGCGACTCTCCCTGAATGCACTTCACCTGCCATTCTAGCACGTGATTCAGCTACAAAGAAGCATGAAGCAACATGTTCTGTCCCACTCCAATGTAATATAACAGAAGACGAAATCTTCGGACAATGAAAATAACGTTTTGGGTTTCTTTAATTTGGCATATCGCATTGTGATAGAAATCACATGATTAAAAAAAAAAATCAGGCGGCTGTTTGAGAATCGCAAACAGTGAATGAGCACAGGAAGCTGAACTGGAACAAAGAGCATGTGAAAGGGAAAGCGGAAGAGAGGGAACTGGGAATAAGGGTTACTCTCGTTCAAACAAAAAAAAATTGTGGATTGGTAAGTCTCAGTTTGACACCTCTGTTGGGAGGCAGGGAGTAACTTCTTAAGGTTTAAGCAACCACACTTGTACTAGATTTCAGCAAGTGAAGCTTGTAGGTTACATCACAAGAGAAGACGACCTACTGTGCTGTTGTACCCTTGATAAATGATTTAGTAAATTGCTTAGTAACTGTCAGTAAGAGCAGCAGTGAAAGACATTTGATATGATGTTGCTGAAAATGGCAAGCTGTCACTTGGCCGTCAGTCCAGGCTAAACTTATTTAGCTTGCTAAGCTAATAAGTTGGCTGTCACATGCTCTCTGTTACAATAAAGGGTGCGGACAGCTGGGGCAACCCTCCAGTGGTAAAAAAAAAAACAACCAAAAAAAACAAAACAAAAGCTGCCTCCACTCCACAGGAGCTCCTGAGTATGAGCTCACCGGAGGCACTGCATTGCAAGGGACCGAGAAATCTGAGAACGACCTCAAGTGCCCTCCCTCCCACAGATGCAGTGAGGTTACTAGAGTTCAACGGCAAGCCAGCCAGGGAACAAAGCGAACTGGAGTTGTGGGGGCTGGGGGTGGGATTTAAATAGAGGCTGCCTTTTCCTGATCTTGCCTGCATCTCTTCCAGCAAATTCATTTTTTACACTGCTTTTTGATCTTGCCATTTATCTTTACGCCCGCATCTGGTTTGTTAGCTTTGCTCAGTCAGCTGTGTTTGGCTGTATAAGGGTATCCCTGAGAGCACGGGGGGGGGGTCTCATGACTGTCCTGAAAGGGTTGGGTTTCCTAGGATCTCACGCTGCCAATATCCTGACCTGCCGGCTTGACCCGACTCCCTAGACAAACTGAGTCAGGACAGTCCTGCATATCCTCAGGGAACCTTACAGGCCGGCACACGCATACACACGCGCCTGAAAGACATTTCAGTCTTGACTGTTGCACAAAGCCCTGATGCCAGTTCCTATAAGCTGTCCTCTGTTGCTCCTCAATGAAGCCAGATGTCCATCACAGCAAAGGAGGGGCAACCCACCCTCTCCACACGCCCCGGAGCCCAGCTTCACTGACCCTACTGTTTCCCACTTAGTGGTAGTTGGTCTTTCTCTCTTTCCCCCTAAATGATAAAGGGTGAGAGTGGGGGCAGGGGCGGGCCACCAGCTTCCTACAGCCCATCTGGCCAAGGATTTCTCCCCATTTCCCCAGTGCACTGATGTGGTTCACTAAAAACCTTGCAATGGTCACTTAATTACTGAAATAACTTAAAGAATTAGCCACAGTAGAAACAAACAAAAAAAAAATCCCTCTTTGGTACCTTCGCTGTCAAGTAATTGCCTTCTATTGAACACCCACATGAAAGAAAAGCAAAGAATGCCGACAGCAAGTCAAGGCACAAACTCACACACGGGAGAAAAAAGCCACAGAAACTATTCAGTCACTTTATCCAAACCCTGGGGCAACCAAAGCTGTTCCAGCAGCCTCACAAAGCAAATGGAGGCTCTGCAGTCAAGGTCAGTTCCCCACACACAGTGGTATGAGCAGAAAAGTTAATCTATCTAGTTTCCTTCCAAACATCTGAGGCCTTCTGCTTAACGGCAAGGATTCATGAGCGGAGTCCGAGTCTCAGGTGGTGGTGATTGCAGCAGAAGTCATTAGGGACAGAAAGAAATGGAGGGTCTTGTCTAGTCGAGACCTCCTACCTCTACTGCCAGTGCACCTAGGCTCTCCAGAAGATAATCCGTGGCCTCTGAGACCTGCTGAACGTCATGGGGGTCCGTCTTCACATCCGTCTGCAGAGACGGGGAATAAAGAAGAGGAGGGGCTTCACAGTTAGGCAGAGGTTACTGACCGAGCCTGCAGTATGAGAACATCTGATCATATCCATCATCATGTGATCATATGCTTCATCCTCTATATATGAAACTTCAACAAGCATATTTGAAATTTATACAATAAACACATGAGAATACAGAACTTTCCATTCCTTTGACCACTATTTCGGCTACTGAGGCTCTGAGAAAGCTAAAGTATCAGCCTACGCAGGAAATGTCCAGAAAATCAGTGCTTAGTAAAATTTCTTGTTCTCAGCCTCTTTTGAGTCACACAAAGGAGGCATTCTTCGATATGTCCACAGTCCTGAAAGGTCATAAACAGCAGGATACTGCCATGCTGGTCTAAAATGGGAATTTATAGCTCATAATTGCTGTCCTAGTTTTTAATATATGTTGAAGTTAAAATACAGTGTTAAGAGTACTAAATGCTCAGTAACTGGGTTATTTTTTTCTGTACATGATCATAATTAACACTGATTTCATGTCAACATATTTCCAAAAGCATGACTGAAGATCACTTTGTGATCTGATGTGCCTGCTATATGTAGCTAATTTTAATATCTGATCTCCAGGTAATCAGAGGTGGACATTTCAGGTCCAGAAAGTAAAAATACAGTCCAAGATTTTGTTTCAACCAACCAGTTGAGTACCCTGTGACCATGACTCTTTATATTCAACTGGATGGTTGAGACTAAATCCTGGTCTGGATTTTTACTTTTTTGGGCCTGAAAGATCCACCTCAGGAGGCAGTGCCTGCTTTCTCGTCAGATCGTTAGTGTCCCCGGAGGCTACACATTACGTTAGTGTATCATGGCATGAGCTCGCCTCAACATGTCCTTGCTTGGGCGTTTTTGCGTCTCTCTTTGTTTTCTTTTTCTGGTTAAGCATAACGTCAAGCAATTCATCAAACAGGTTTGGCTATTGGAAGAAAGAACAAAATAGTTCTTTTGGAATAAGTAAAATTCATAAAATGGCAAAAGAAGAGTTTCCTTCCACAGTCTAACCTTAGACAAAATGCAAGGAAACAGCCAATTAAACAGGTCAGGCCAATCTTCAGCTTCTTTAAAAAGTCAGATAAGATGTTGGCCACTGATTTTAGTGCAGTTAGCACTGCTAGACACAACTCACAGGGTAATAAGCAACCAGTACATCATTGAGGTCAGCCAGAAAGTTAGAACAACCCTGCCAAAAGTCAACTTAACCTTAGAAGGCATCTCTAGAGATTGCTAGGGGTGGTGAGTGACTCAGAGGGCTAAGCCTCAGTGCTCATGACCAGAAGGTCGCTAGTTTAAGCCTTGACAGAAGAGTCAACATGTCTGTGGGCCCTTGAGCAAGGCCCTTAACCCCCAGCTCCAGGCACACATGTTGGTTGATTGGTGACCCCCAAGCTATGGAAAGCAAGATGGGGCAAGCAAGGAGAATAATTCCAATTTGCTTGTACTTGTGCAAATGGTAAATAAAGGATTTATCATTGCCTCTAATAAGATGTGAGGCAAATTTCCAGAAACCTCTTCACCAAGGAATTATAGTCTTCACTCACAAAAGAGCACCAGACGACCAGGGCACACTAATCTGCATTCAAGCTATACCCACCCGTATAGGTTTTAGGAAGTCTAGGTTGGATAGGAAGAGTCTCTCAGCCTGGCTGAGCCAGGACCGCGAGGATTTGCAGATGATGTCCTGGGCGAGTTGTGACACGTTCTTGTCCTTGATTGTCACGAAGTTCTGGAGAGCAGTCTTGTTGCACATGTCCTTTAAGTGTACACCGAAGCCCTTAATCAGCACCTGGGACACAAAGGGATTATGACAATATGTTCCCCATAAATTAAAGTCACGCCTGAGGCTGGCCTGTATAGTTATTAACAGTTATTGAGTCTCACCTTTTCCAAGTTTACATCAGCCTCCACAATCTCATTGACAGAATATTCAGAAAATGAAGCATTGTGGACCAGGAACGAGGAGAGCGTCTCATTGTCACGGAGGAAGTCCTTCAACTTGAAGCCTGTGGATAGTTATGCAGTTTTACAATTTCACCAAAGGGTCTCGTTCATAACGTTCGAGGGTTCATAAATGAAACCGTGGGTATACAACTGATTCATAATCATTATGGGACAATAAGCCTTTTCACAATCACTAATTCAGAAGCTGAATAATGTTACATTTTGAGATGGATGCAATTCAGTGAAATGTCATCTATGACGTTTGTGATTCTGACCCACTAAATACTCACAGAATCGCTATTCAACAAGAGACTCTGAGAAAATGAAGTCTTTTGAACAATTGCCGCACTATTTCTTAAACGTTCAAGTCATTCTCAACTGAAACTGAATAGTTTTAAGGTGGCTACCATAGCACTCCAGGAATATAGATCAGCCAGCACCAGAAAATGCAACAAAAGTGCAATTTCCCACCCAAGTCCCCTGACGAGTTGGCCAAGGTAAAACATGGAGCCACTGGAGGTCATTTTCGTTCACTTAGACATTTTGATACAGCCTGGACCCTGGAGCTTCGGCCCAACTGCCACTCCCCTCCACCACCCATTCAATCCCCCCCCTCAATCTCACTCAACCTCAATATCCAAAGCACGCTTCAGGTATCAGGAAGCTAAGGGTGATTATGCAATCTGTTTAAGTGTGACTCCAAATCCAAAGATCTTAGATAAGGAGCCATTCTTTAGCTAACAACTTGCAGAAAGACGTGCGAGAGACAGCTGAGGTACATATTTCAAGAATTTGAACAAGAATCTCTCCTGTAAATTATTTGCTTTCCAGCTAACACTATATTTCATATTAGTTATCAGTGTAGTGTGCTGTAACGAAAGCTGTTTCACTCCCTGTCATTTTAGTAATTGTGCTTGTGTCTTACAAAGGTAAGCAAATGCACAAACAATGAGGCATGCAGGAACTATAGCCAGTTGCAGATTAAAACATTATTGTTTGAAGGGGTTTTTCTAATAGTTGTTTGTTTTGTACAAATAAAGAACATACCACCTAAGAAAGTCGCATGACTAAACAGGAAGTCAACAGTGTCCTGTAAACAATAAGCCAAACAATGCACTACAGACAAAACACTTCAGCGCTACCCAACGATTCTCTGGCAGAGATTTATCCCGTCCACAGTTAACGTGCCTAAACTATGTGAACTGCACGACCTGCAGGGGCAGCATCTGACAGAGTGGTTACAGGTGCATAGCCTGAAGCCTTAAGATTCTTTGCTGGCCATTTCAGGGAAAGTTAGGTAATTAAGGATAAGTCATTAGGGTATATCAGGCAGCTGGTGCTGGGCCAAGAGACATTTGACATTGTAAACTGCCAAGGAGTACGAATTAATAACTGCTGTAAAGTCGTAAAGAGGCACCAAAGTGAGCGATGGCCAGCGTTCAGGTGCTGGTACTCGTTCCACCAGGCTGCCTGGTTTCTCGAAGCAATGAGCCTGTTAATGCCAGACATGCAGGTCACAACAATGAAGCCGGGTATAATCGAAAGAAAAAAAAAGCGAAACAAAAGAAGGTTGGAAGTTGGTCTGCTGCCTCTGGCTTGCTCTGTGCAGGGATAATGGACTGGACTGAAACCGAATTTGAGGCTCATTGGACTGAAACCGAATTTGAGGCTCATTGGACTGAAACCGAATTTGAGGCTCATTGGACTGAAGCCGAATTTGAGGCTCATTGGACTGAAACCGAATTTGAGGCTCATTGGACTGAAACCGAATTTGAGGCTCATTGGACTGAAGCCGAATTTGAGGCTCATTGGACTGAAACCGAATTTGAGGCTCATTGGACTGAAACCGAATTTGAGGCTCATTGGACTGAAGCCGAATTTGAGGCTCATTGGGAGTTCCTCCGTCGAATTTCTCCCATCGGAAATAATGCCGTGAGATGCGTTACCAAATGAATGGTATTTACATGAAAACATGAAGCTAAGATACGCCAGGCTGAAAAAAAAGCAAATATGTTAACTTGTGGCCACCATTTCCTTATCACTTTTGGAGACACTGGTCAGTGGGCAGACACACAGCCTCTTTAGTAATAGCCACACTGTATGCAGCTTTCCCTCAAAAGGGTGTAAACCAGAGAGATCAGAGTTTGAACTGCAAGCCATCTGCTTGCTCACCCTCAATATCAAACCTGCCTCAGCTGAAGACCAGAACCGAAGGTGTCACATGGGCCTCCGGTACGTCGTCACCTTCCCTGTCTTCTCACATTGTTTTTCTACATCATTTGCATGCCAGAACGTGGACGGAGTAACCTGCTCTGTCGTTCTAGTGTGGCCATTTACCTGTCGTGTTGCTCTGCATGATCTTCAGGGCTTGGATTAGGTCTTTAAATCCCTCCAGGCTCTTATCATGCTGACTGTATAGCAGGATCTTCTTGGCATCGGAGAACAGGCGCGAAATACTGCGGATGGCAACGGGAACAATAAATAAGATGCAAACTTAGACACACCAACCCACGTCAAGTGCACATTCTACCAATGGGCATATGGTCATCAAAACACAAGATAAACAAGTCAGGGCTACTAGGTGGTTGAGTTTAACCTCCAGCACTTGACTATTCATACTCTGATTAGAGATAATCCAGTCCTCGAGGACCTATAGACAGTCCATGTTTTTGCTTCCTCCCATCTCCCTGTTGGGGGCTGGTAGGCAGGGTCTTTGAGGACTGGATTGGGAGACACTGCTCCAATCGATTTTTAATATAACTTACATAGACTGGTTGAAGTTTCCAACCACTCCTGGGGACTCTCCAGGGGTGGGGTGACGGAAGCAGGGGTTATTGGCATTGCAAATTATGCCCTGGACCCAGGGCAGGGTGCCCGCAGAGGGCATGGCCTTGTTGGGGAAATGGCCTATCAAAAGACAATAAGCAAGTGGAAAATGAATCAGAACACAGGAACAAACATCACTACAGTGGGGGTGTATTTCATAGATCCACATCGTAGGGGTGGTATGTGCCAGTCGAACCACTGGTCACATCCCAACAGGATTATGGGTTCAGCTCCCACCCCTGGCTCTGTGTGGGTGGACTTTATGAGTTCTGATTCTGGGGAAGTCATTTTTAATCACTGGTGTCATGGGTAATGTGATATGGTAATTTCATAAAACATTCCCGACTCTCTGGCATGTGCCACAGTAAACTGCTAAAGTTAGCATGGCTCAGGGCTGAAAACATCCCTGAAACATCCCTGAACTGTTTGTAACCAATTCCTGAAAAAGGTTTCGCATTAAAATATAAGGGTACATCACATGCAGGCTGCAGAGATAGAGAAACAGTGGAGCAGCATAGCCTGAAGTTGCATACACACCCTACCGGATCATGGTCTAGCAGTTATCCATAGATGAACACTGATACATCCATGCTGCCACCTCCCCCCCCCAGTTGTTATCAAAAAACCAGCTGCCTTTGCAAATATCCCGACCCTTGCCCCTGGATGCTGTGTCTTTGTAAGTTCACAGACATCTGTGCTTGGAGTCAGAAAAAAAAATGAAAACTTCGTCCGCTAATCTGTCAACCTTAAGACTGCCAGCTGGTCCACTGCAAAGCTAAACATACTGATAAGATAAGATAGAATAAGAAAGCCTACGGCATTTAGGCGTCTGCCCTGACATGCCAACATGCCTGTCTACATCTAATAGAAGAATCGTTCATGGCATCCTACTGCCTGTTCAACTTTCTTTGTAGCATTTCAAGTAATATCTGTGAGCCGCGATAAGGGAACCTGTTTGGAGTATGCCACTACTCTGCAAATTCCAGAGGTGAAAGTAATAATAAATGAAATAAAGAAAATAATAAATGAGCACATGGACACAAAATAACGATACTTCAACGCAACCTTGGATCAGGGAGAATTTCCATGATCTGCTAAAATTTCTGAGGGAACTGTCGCAACATGCCTGACCGAAAAAGAACTTCGCGTGATTCACACCAAAGACATTTTCCGCCATGGGCAGAACTCAAGGTTTTTTATTGAACTGAAAAAGGCCGACACCTTCCACTTCCCGCTTTCGGGAGGGTTTGCAGTATACGGACTGCTCGAGCCTTACACGCAGGGGCGGATTAACGCACAGGCTAGATATGGCTTAAGCCTAGGGGCCCCACGTGTGCCAGCCTGCAAGGGGGCCCCCATTGGCGCGGAGGGGGGTGGGGTTGGGGGGCCCACAGACTACTGTAGCCTAGGGGCCTCTGTGCACCTTAATCCGCCCCTGCTTACACGCTAGCTATGTTTTGCCATTGGAGCCTAAGTTGAACAAGATAGGCTGAAAGTTAGACTAAACACACAAGTACGTGGGGGGGGGGGGCAGGGGGCTGAGAGTGCCGGAACACCTCCTCCTTTTGCCTGAATGATCGAAAGTGGCCCACTTTTGAGGTTCTGAGTGCTCCCAATCGAGGGGACCCCCCCGGAAAAATTTACTTAGGGACACTAAGGTCAAGCACCTGCCCCTCGAAAAGTCTCTACCCAGTGCTGATCCAGATCCTCCTCTGATTGTAATACCAAGCAGGCAATCGACTCCCATAAACCGCCATAAATGTAAAAGCAATTAGACACAAGTGGAGGCCCAAAACTGGGAAAAATTACTTATTTCATCAGAATATCTTTCCTGCAATATGACAGCACCACTAAATAATTTAATCTAAGCAGAATTGAGTGGAATTCAAGTAGAACTGAACTTTCTGATACCAAGATTGAAGTCCATCTTTAAACACAATCTATTTACCCCGATTAACATCATTTTGCAATTTCAAACATAATGATGCTCTGATATCCCGCTAATGGTGGAATGATACACTTAACCAAAATGGCCACCACATGAAGTGTGGGCTATTATAAGGGTCCGGTTGCCCACTAACATTTCTGCACAGGTTTACTCAGTTAAAAAGGTTTAGCGCATAAGGTATGAGCAAAAGTCCAGCCAACACTCAATCCAGCTGTATGTTACAACAGGTGATCACAGCACACTTGTGTGGACACACCAAGACCAGAGTTAATATTTTTGTTACTTTTACATCAATCACTTAAAAAGTTGAGTGTTATTTAATAATATCACACAATTATGTTAACAACCGCCTAAATTTTGCTATTTTTCTCTGTGAAAAATATATTCCCCCTTCAAGATAAAATATAACAGGCAAATAAATTCCAACTATATTTCACTTAAACTCCCACAAAGAAATACTGATATTGAACATTTCAGATCTGCTAAATAATCCACAAAGGCTGTTTGGTGCAGAAGGTACAATAAATTTGAGATTTCTCAACCAAGTTACAATTGTACACAGAAAGTGTATTTAGATTATGCTGTTTGGTACAACTCTGTATACTTAAGAAAAATTAATTATGAGGAGGCAAAATATCCACATAAAGCTTAAATCCAATAGGTACCAAATATATATCTTATCTGACGATAAAGGCATACAACAATATGCGTGTATCTCTGTGTTAGAAAAACTATATTTCACAGCGGTATTATAAAACAGTGTTATTATAACCACAGAAATATGATATTTTGTATTCATGTCTTTTTGCGCTTGTGACAATAATATAAAGTGTGTTGTTACAGTTAATTCCCATTCCTGGAATCATGACAGAATGAGTCATTTCTAAAGAAATTTGAGCAGTAAATTGGTGACGAAAGGTTTATGATTCGAAGGGCACCTCCAGACAAGAGTGTACCCGACCACGCCGCTCAGGAACAAACCGGCACACTCACATTCGTGCTGCTGATACGGTGGGTAGTAAATCCTCACGGAAATCAGGATGAAGAAGATAAAGAGCGGCCATATGACTTCGATCAGCAGCTGGATCTATGGGATGGAGGGTGGGGTAAAAAGGACATTGTTAGTGTTAGGGGTCAGATAGCTGCCATGATCTCTCTTAGGACCACCCAGCGAGAGATTAGCATGCATCTCCTGTGATATTCAGGTCCGCACCCCGCACTCGGCACAAGGAATCACTGTGAGCGAAGTCAATCTGCCTCAGTGGTTGGCCCCAACTATGTAAAAGACACTCACGCACAACGCCGGCTCTACCTTTACAAGGGCCTCAGGCAAAGCTGTACTTGCCCCACCACCAAGAAAACCGAAGATCCATTTCACTTCCTCCACAGTTTAAGCAATTTGGAGGCCTGGGGAACCTGCTTAGCGCTATTGAATGAAATGATCCTTCATTTGTCATTAGCACTGGTATGAGTACAGATACACTGGATTGCTTCTCTTGGATTCCTACCCCATGTTGCCCTCCATGAGACACACAGGCAGATGAGAGGAAGTTGCTGCACAAGCCCAAAGTATGCTAACGAGCGGACCTCAAAACATTTGGTTCCTAGAGGTGCTTGATAACTTAGTTAGCAGAGAAGGTACGGTTTATTCTCAGTAGTTTAGGTGATATACATTTAAAACTGAAAACTGAGGTTACATTAAATAGAGGTCACAATAAACCTTCACACTACGTTGATCTATTACTCTTTTCTCATCGTTACTTCATAGCAGTAAAGCACTAATATACCTGTGCTCTGGTTTTGTTAATTAACTTACTAAGATCTGTCGCATGCTGTGACGCAGGGCAGAAATCTTTCTCAGGATTTTTAGTGGGGGATCAAGAGACATAAACACTAGCGCTACAGCCCCAAGAGTGGGGTTCAATCCAAACCCTTCTTTGATGAGCCCCTGTTCCCCATATCTAACCTGGAGGGGCTACATAGGTTAGTTCATTTAATACGGCACAAGCTACAAGAAAATCTTTTTTTTGCACAGGGAACCACGTAAAACGTAAAATGAAAAACATAACAATTGATGCTTTGTCATTCAACAAAAGACTGGAAGATTCTGATGGAGATGTGCAAATCACAGCTCCAATGATCTACATCTGTACACTCTGTACAGTTCATAAAACTGGTTATCACATGCCCAACGCTCCATCACAGCTGTTTGCTTTGTGTTAACCAAACAGAGGCTGGAAGCATTTTTATTTTATCTTCACCAGCTCAACGGCCACTGAGGAGCAAGATTTATTCATGCATCTCTTCACTGAAGTGTTTTGTTATCATTACTTATTACAAATTGAGGAGGAGAATGGACATACCGTTTGCCGTCGTCTGTAGGTGAAGTTCTTCCAGAGCAGCAGGCCCAGCTGAGTGGAGATGGACATCTTGCCGCTGGAATTCCCACCCAGCAGTCTCCGGCTTCCGACTGAAATGACACGACAGGTTGGTGCCGAGGAAAAGGCTGTTTGTGTCCCGGCCAACATGATGCCCAAAGGTCTGGGACAAAGTGCGCCTCCCTATCTCACACTGACAAGACGGGCGTTTTTTAAGCAAACTTGGCATTTCTTCAGAGTGTAAAGTGTCACGTCAAGGATGCAAATAACTCAATGGCCGAATTAAACCCATCTGAGGATTATAAACATCTCAGAAACTTATTAGCACTTTTAGATTAACTTAAAGCAGAAAAACTCCCCTTTTAGAATACACTTTAATCACAGACGGAATTTCCCTTGATCCACCAGTTTGATTACAATAAAAGCCACCACACATAGTAATGAAATACAATTAATTAGCTTTAAGTTCATCAATCAAGTCATATTTCTTTGAATTGGTGAAGTCATTGTAATTAATTTAATTATAAGGAATTCATGAAAACATCTTAATGTTCACAATTACAAAGCCTAACACTGTATGTAAATTACTTTAAGTGCTGCAAATATTGTTGGGACTAATTATATCATAGGTTAAAGCAAAGACGTCATTATGCCTACTTTAGAGGGGCCTTAGCCTCCCCCCCCCACAAAAAAAATGCTTTTTAGCCCCCCTCAAATAAATGTGTATTTAGTGGTTTAAGTCATGAAGAGTTTGCCGTCCCACCCTATCAATTCATCTCTAAGTACGCTCCTGGGTTAAAGACAAATACAGTTAAGTAACAAAATATGAATACGCTTCCTATTGTAGTATTCATGCCGTTTTGTTTTTTAACCGTTTCCAAAAAAAATTTCGATTACAGAAAATATAATATTGCGCAATGAGTTTTCGTTATACATAAATGTCCTTCCAGGAATGCAGAAATACAGCAGGTGACCATCTCCGACTTTCTTCATTAGTTTCACTATACACTGTGTCAAAGTCACTAAACAGATAAGTAACGTTATACGTTAAAACCTTAATCATCCTTACATGACTTTACACGTTGGACATTTTTAAATTTCAGAAACATATTTAGCAACACTTTTAAATACAAGATATCTCTTAAATATAAATTTATAGATTTCTGAATTGAAGTGTGCATAGGATAGCCATGTTAAAATTAGACTTCATAAGCATTTGATTTTATGGCACAGCGGATTTATTTCAAGAAAACTAACCCATCGTCGCATTTTCTCGAAGTGATTTTTTTTCCATAAAATTCATTACACTACATCTAGATATAGTTTGTCTTTGTCGTTTGATTTATATCAATGTATGTATTAAGATATCGACACTATGTCAAAATGCCTACTGACTGTGACTAAAAACTATGTTCACCTCCTGTATATCTTCTAAAAATATTAAAATGGACACCCAGACTTTGATGAGCGCAGTCTTGGTCAAGAACAAAACATTTTAACCTAAACGTGGAGGGGTTTGCTGCGCCCCCAGTGGCGTAGACGAGCATTCACTCTTATAATCATATTTTACACTGTTCTTGTTATTGTTATGCGTGCGATGTGCCACCGTTACTTTTTCTCCCTACAATAGATAGTATTTTCTTTACGTTCGGGGTTCGGATTATCGTTTATTCTAAATCACACTTTCATAGTTGAAAGAAACAGACCTTTTCTGTCCACCGTTATTCATTATATTCCCTCAAGTTATTTGTATGCACAGTATGTAACGTATCGTAAAAAATCCAAAAAATACAATAACAGAATTTGCAAACGACGTAGGTGCTAAATGCATAAGTGATAATCGTGATAATATGTTGGTCCACTCGCAAATACCGAATTAAAGAAAATGCTCCTAAATTGCCACATGAAGAATTTCATTGTCGCGCGGACAGAGGGTTACTCTCGGTCATTCGTGTTTTCTCCCGCAGATGCGCCGCTTAGCGCTTCCTGTGTTATTAGAACAGTATGCATAAAAAAAGCAACGCTGAAATAAATGACGACTTTAAAAAATGATCGTGAATACAGCGATTCGTTTATCGTGACATAAAATGTTTTTGCGAGTCATACATCCAAAAGACAGCAATTGTGAGGTAATTGTCTCTGACTTCATAAAATCAAAGAAAAAACTCAAAATAACCAGTTGACAGCCATTAGAATCCAACATGCATCTGAATTTAGTTAGTCAAAACATATTGCTTATTTTACAATTGCCAATACCGTTGTTTATTTTGCACTTATATGTTAACATTGAATGGGTAATTATACTTACCTCTTCCCTGAAAGCTGCAACCGACTTCTTAATGCGTGTAAGTTGAAAATACTCCAAAAGGGGAAAAAAACAAAAGTAGTCCTTTGTCTACTTTTTCCCCTCACTAATTTCACAGCGCACACGTCCTCACTCGCAATGTAACAGTGCTGTTTTATTTTTTTACCTCCCGGAGCTTTTATAGCACAGCCGCCGCTGGAGGAGCCGAGGTTACTATCGGTCAGATGTGGCTTAGCGCTTCTGCACACCCCTCCTTTTTTTCTTTGCAAGACAACCACGTGCAGAGTCAAAACAGGTCTTAAAACGGCTACCAGCCATCTACATACACAGCGTAGCCTCGTTTTAAATCATTCATATTACCTGACTTGTTGCTTTCGAATCCTGCGCTTTTTGATCGTCGCCCACAAGAAAATGATACATTTCTATTAACGGTATTTTTGCATTTTTTCCGAGTTCCCTTACCAACTCACTCAAACTATATATTTTCAGGGAATTAACTCCTCATCATCTGTCAGGTACCCACCCTGACATTTATTTACTTGTAAAAACTACTCAAATACCAGTTGTTGCACCTGGTCCCGAAAGGGATTGCATTTTAAAACTTAGCTTAGTGCTGGGGCCAGAGAAAAGACCGTGCTGTCATCATTTTGCTGTGCCCAACCTATAAATACATTTGGATCTTGTGTTAAATGTGATGTAGATACTAAACAAGCAAGAAGGGCAAGTTTGGCGAGCAAACCACCTTAGGAATATTCTTGTATTTTGTTTTTACGGTGTACCAGGAAACTGCTGCTCCATACATATATTTAATGTGGCTATGAGTCATTGCTACCTTCTAAGTAAACACTGGTTGGTGCTTATAATGTTGTATCTATAGACTATCAAATATTTATGTGACTGATCAGTGCAATAATCCTATGGACGACATGTGCAGTGTCAGTATGGCTGGTTTATTTTACTGCTTGTACATCCATCATCTTGGAAGACTGTCTCATGGCGAAGTGCAACTGCATTCACTCCACTATTGCCCGACAAGTTAACCGGCTAAGAGTGCAGTTATCTGACAGAGTGGCCAGGGACACAAGGAAGGCAACTGCATTTTAGCCACTTCTGAATCATCCCAGGTGTTCTTGAACAATCACCATCCTCATGCGGGTTTCTTGTATGACTCGTGTCTCCTCCTCAAACATCTATAGCTTTGTGGTTAATCACTTTCCCTGCAAGTAGAGTGTCCAGTTTTTTGTTTCTTGAGTACACTCTTCTCCTTGAAACAGTCATTAAACCTGGTCTTGGGAGACACCGGTGTATGATGGATTTTGTTCTGGCCAAAATAATGTAATTTTGGCTGTTGAATGGCTGCATTTTACTAGCATTTCACCGCACTGTGTGCTGTGGTGTGTTGACAATGATCACTAAATTCTAATTCTTAAACCATAGCTTAATAAAAAAATGCAAAAGCCTCAAAATGACACACAACGCCAGAGCTAATTACCATATTTTGATTGGCTTGTTAAATTGGATCACAAAAAAGTGCTGATTACTAATACTACTTCCATAAGATGTGCTTCAGTGATTCCTTCATCCTAGGCAAGACAAATGCTGATTAACCCTCTGTCTTTAAGATGCATGAAGAAAAGAAATCCAATAGAGTAATATTTGTGAAGATGTATACACAGCAAAACTATAAATGCTGAGCATGAACAAACCATGAGACATGAATGTTCTCACATTGCATTCCTGCTCATTGAATATTATAGCCTTCTTGGGTTCTTGCTTTGTTGTGTAGCTCCTGCTCCAGTACTGCTTGTATCTGGGCATTCACTGGAAGCTCAGCCTAGCTGCGCTTGTATCTGGGCATTCACTGGAAGATCAGCCTAGCTGCGCTTGTATCTGGGCATTCACTGGAAGCTCAGCCTAGCTGCGCTTGTATCTGGGCATTCACTGGAAGATCAGCCTAGCTGCGCTTGTATCTGGGCATTCACTGGAAGCTCAGCCTAGCTGCGCTTGTATCTGGGCATTCACTGGAAGATCAGCCTAGCTGCGCTTGTATCTGGGCATACACTGGAAGCTCAGCCTAGCTGCGCTTCTATCTTGTAAGCTTGTAACCAGGAAAAGGATTGGAGAAGTGTTCATGTAAAAAACACAGCTGTACAAGCAATTAAAATGGTGAGTTAATTTGACAGTAAAGGCATTATCCAAATAAAATGATAATGGTTGTATCACATGTTAAATTAAGTGGAGTTTATACAATATCCAGATCATTGTGTTGTATCAAGCAGACAAAACCTCATTAATTAACAGAGTCAGTTTGAATAAACAGCAGCACATTCTGGTGATCCTCATGAAAGGCTTTGAGATGCTGTGTATTAGTGCAGTATTCAGACATTAGTGATTTGTTGTTTGTTTTTCTCCTTGAATACTGTACCTCTCACTCCCTTTTCACCTCTCACATTTTTTCACACTAAGTCACCTAGCCTTGCACGTTTGCACCACTCACACAATGTTGTGTCATCGTTTTTGTTTTGTCACTTTATATGTAGCATATATTATTAAATTCTATATACTTTTAGATACATTTTATATAATATATCCCCCATTTATGTAGCACAGTCGGTGAATCTGCCAGAACAAGCATTTCACTGTTTGTTGTATGAGTACAACTGCATGTGACAAATAAGAAACTTTGACTTTAGTACAGTAGTAATGCCACTTGTTCAATTCTACATTATTTAATGCTTAGTACTACCTCTTTCATTTCGCTTATATCCAGAGATGATTCTATGCACACTGGGGGCCCTCCAATGCACCCCACCGGCCATGGTAAAATGTATCACCATTATTTTAGCATGAAGTTTAAATTAATGATATCAACAATGAGAATTTAATAAACACGATTCCTTTATTTTAACTTTACTGTGAAAACAGAATACCTAAATAAAGCAGATTTGTCATTGCAAAGCACTATGTAATCGGCCACCCTTGTGGGGCCCCTCCCAGCTCAGGGCCCCAGGCAACAGCCAGCCTTGCCTGTCCGGTCCCTACGCCTCTGTTTGTATCAACTGAATAAAGAATACCCCTAAAAAAATCATAGCAAAGACATGGAGTCAGTTTGGTGCAGTTGAGAGGTCTTTCTCAATGTCCTCCTTTAATGCGGTGGGAGGGAGCATTTAAATATCCCAGATATTACCATGGAAGCTGAGAAAATGCAACTATTTGTAAAACGCCCAGCCTCATGACACACTGTGATACCAGGCACCCGTGACCCAAGGCTGTACGACCGGCACAGATGACAAAGCGCGGTGAACAGAGAGCCCCTTCTCCCTTCCAAAATCAGCAGTGAACACCTGCGCTATCAAGATCCCACCATTGGCCATTGAAACAGACCCCGCTGTGTTTCCGCGCTGGGTCTGCTAGCTGAACGCCGCAACGGTGAGCAAGACACAAATGCCCCTAAAGTGTTTTAAATTTAAAAATGCAGAGATTTTATTTCCCATTCAAAAGTATGTCATAACACAATGGGATACGGGATAGGAGAGACACAACAACAAGCTTGTTTGGATATCCTAAACCACTGGCCGTCCTTAAAATTTAATCAGGTGTTACTGAGGGAGAGACACCCAGCGTCTGGTAAAAAGATAAGACGCAAGTTAATATTTCAGATGAACTGAGTTCATCTTCACCCCAAACAGGAAGAAGACAGTCTCGTCTCAGCTCTGTTGAGGCTTACACCGCAACATGTGCTAAAGTGAAAGAGCCATTTTGTCAAACATTTCCCATTTCATTTTAATCTATTTTAGATCCTTTTGGGGGGCATTTTTAATTTAAGGGATTAAATGCATTCAAGAAATTAAATTAAATGTGCTTTGTATTCTCCAGACACCTAAGGCCTTGCGGTTTGGACACCCAAAATATAATGATATTGTATATCGTAGGCATCAATGGGTGATTTCTTTGAAACAAAGCTACAAAAAAATAAACGCCAAATGTAAACAATCATAATCCAAACTGCAAACTTTCGGTTAATGATTTGAACAACTCTACTGTGCAGTCAAGAGGAAATGCCGCAGGCTAGTGAACAGCAGTCCACCGTCATTTACGCTGCATGCCCAACAGAAAATGCAATCACTTATAACATTCATTAAAGCAATATATATAAACCACTACAGTAACAATTTCACTGCAATTTCATATTTTATTGTGATTCAGAATTTTACAACCGCAATCAATCGGTAAAATGCAATTTATATGGTAAGGAACTTTCCTCGAATGTATTTATAATCCTTATCTACTACAATATATCAGTTTAAATAACGGTTTATAAATGTAGGTGCCCGGAATAGGATCGTTATGTAGTTGTAATCTAGCGATTATCTGCGTCCCCACTGCCGTTGCCCTTTTAAGACAGCCATGCCGCTTTCTGACGGAAATACAGTTCTGGGGGGGGGGTGTTGTTTTCAATTTGTGGCCAGCTTAGTTTAGACCAAGGATCGCAGTACTGAAACTATAGATCGAAATTCTGTTTAGCCCCATACATTTTTGTATAACAAATAAAAAAATAAGATATCCTATACTGCATTTTAATCATGCTCTAAAAGCTAACCAGTAGATTTGAGTATTCACCTCGTAGATTATTTATTAAATTGTATAGTAAACGTCCAATTTAAAGGATCAACACAGTTGTCATGTGACTATATGTCGGTTCCTATACACAGATGATAGCCTACGCGTTTCTTTCAAAAAGTTTGTTTCAATCGTTATGCAATCTATACCTATTTCTAGTAGACGATGAGTGCTTGAGTCGATAATGTATTGACCCGCTCGTAAACAAAGCCTAGGTGTCTTAGACAAGGATCTAATACAATTCACCACCATTGTTTTCTTTCTTCTTTTTTTTTTATCGCACACTGTTTTACCTTGTTTGAATTGACAAGGTTGTGCTTTAAAAAAAACATCCGACGAAGGCCGTGCAATCGTCGTTAAATAACCTGAGGCTTGGTCCGACAATTTACTGCACATAACTGCTGCATTGTATATTACAATGTGCAATTCATTCTGTAAATTAAAGGAAATGCACTAAATAAATAAATGAATGAATAAAACCTAGGGGGGAAAAAATCTAAAATGAGTTTTTTTTCATGGTTGTTTTATCTGTTCTGATCTGCGCACGAATGACGGGCTAAATTCATAAACAGAAGGCGACAGTGAAATAAAAGCGGATGTGAATTC